ACACACACACACACACACACACACACACACACCTGCATAACACACACAGGCACACACACAGGTGAGCATGCACACACACCTGCATAACACACACACACACATACACACACGCACGCACGCACGCACGCACGCACGTGGTTGTCATCGCGATCGTCAAGAGCTGGGCCATGCCATGGCATCCCACTGTCCCCCTGACAGTGCCCAGCAGCACTGTCACCTCTGTCTCAGCCCTCGCTGTGCTCCATGCTCCAAGCAGAAGCCAGGAGAACCTTCCTTTGGTCACTGGGGTAGGTCACCCACTAGCTGGGAGCTCCGCAAGACAAGGCTTTGTCCCCTAGGGCGGAGTAGGTGTCCATCAAGTAGGGAATCCCTCTGGGGTCAGTATCAGTGGGCACCCATTCTAACCCATCTCAGGCCACCGAACTCCTGCATGGACAGATTTCTGAGGGACTGAGAGACTGACTCCCTGTAGACCCCGGGGCCTGAGAGGCCAACTCCAACTCCAGCCTCCAGTCTGGACTGCTGCCTTCTCAGCTGCAGATGACCCAGGTGGGGAGGGTGGCCGTTTCCCATGCGTGTCCTGTCGTGGGCTTAGCTGAGAACAGTGCAGCAGGATGGGGCTGAGGCGGGGGCTGCCTGGAGCCAGCCCCTGGGCAATCTGATCTCCATTAGCCCTTCTCTGCTTCTCATTACTGCGGCCGGGCGGTTTCGGAAACACGGCATGTCCCCCCAGCTTTTCTCTCCTTCCTCTGCCTTTTGAGGTCCTTGTCCCATCCCTGATTTCCTTGGAGACCCTCTGCCTCCTCCATCAGGCCAGTAATGGTAGCATGAAGCCACCCAAGCACTGGGGCCAATGGTGTAGACCTCAGTCTCAACCCAACTCAGTCTGGGGGAGAGGCACCCAATTTTGCTACTAAAGAAAACCAACTCTTCCTCTCTCACCCCATCTTTCTGCTCTGAGAAGAGGGGCTGATGATTGCCCCCTCCCCATCATCTCCGAAGATCCCTGGGCATCCAGCTTTGAGCCACTGAGGGCAGGAGACAGGAACGAATGAGCTGAAGCCATCAAGTGTAAGGATGGATGATGTCGAGGCCCAGGTGAAACAGAACTCAGCTAGAGAAGTGACCGGAAGCCAAGGCTGTTCACAGGAGTCTACTCTCCAGCCCCACCACTCACCACGTCCCTCTTCTGGATCACTTCCTCCCTCCCGTCTGCCCCTAGAAACACTAGGGAAGGTGTCACATCTTCCAGGAAATTCTCCACTGCTTGAATCCTGGGACCTCAGACAGCAACACGCAGACATGGTCACTACTTCCCTTCCTTTCCTGCTCAGGTGCTGAGTCCCCCAAGAGTGTCTCTGTCTATTCCTTAATAACTTTTCCTGCCTGGGACAGAGTGCTCAGTGACACAGAGAATGAACCATGGACACAGAAGGGCTAGGTTGGGAACAGCTTAACTGGCCCTGGTAGAGGCTGGGGAGGGGGCAGAAAAGAAGGGGACCCTCTACACAGCCATGACAAAACATTGCTGAGAAGCCAGGGAGAGGAATAGGCTGGGGAAAGTGGAATGGCCATCCCTGTCTAAACTCCTCATGCCGCATGTTCAAGGACCGGGAGGAAGAGGTCGTGTTCTTCTTTTAATGTCAGATAGTGATGTTTACAGTTGACAGTGACTTTAAATGACTTTCTTCGTGCAGGGGAGGGGAGGGGAGGCATCTAGGCTGAGCGGGAGGGGTGGTGGGTGGAGCCCCCTGTCAGCCTCTCCTCACGTTCCCAGCTCCTCCCACTCCCACACTCCCTCACTGCACAGTGGCCTGGGGTCCGCCTGGAAAAGCTTGCAGGAGAAGGCAGCCACAGAGCCCAAACAGCCTTGACTAAATGTCTAAATGGACAGGCATGGGCAGTGCCCAGATGGAGTGTGGCAGACACTATTCCTGCCCTCTGGGCCTTTCAGGAGGATCCAGACACACAGATGGGGACAACCATGGATGGGCAGCCAGGAATAACAATAAAACAGCGTGAAATCAGACTCTCTGTGTGTATACATACATGCATATAACATGAACTTCTTCAAGGTTCAGTTCATGTGTTCTCATTCATATAATCCGTTGCCGGGTACCACGTTGACACTTTCTGGCTTATGGGAAACCTAACTTTTTTATGGAGACCACATACTTTCCACTCTCTCTTCACCTCTCTGCCCACTCCAGGAGTGACCCAAGTGTTGCCATCAGATGGTCAGGGGATAGACATACCATTAAGTCCACCCATTTGGGGTCTGCTGGGCTTTCTTCCTGCTGAGGGTGCAGAGTTGGGATGCTGTAAGCCTCCTTAGGGACGGCATGATGAACACGGCC